ATGAATGCACGGAAGGGAAAGAAAGAAGAGGTCAGCCCCTCTCACTAGGGATGAAAAGGATACCAGCTATAAGAGATCATTCTTCAGCTAAAGCGATAGGACATATACTGAGGAGGACTCAGATAAGTATACCGATTAACAATTATCTCACAACTGGAATTAGCCTTATCAAGTCATTCAAAATAAAGACTGGGGGCATCTCAGTTCATTATTTCACATGTTATTTTATTTTCCAATAAAGTCACCATCACCATTGAGATGGATGACCTTCAATTTTTACGCAATAAAATATAACGTTTTCAGTTACCTACCTATGTGGTAATATTAAGCTCATAGTAATTTATTTATCTTAGGAATGAGAGGCCAACTACACCTTATTAAAGGTTTTCTCATTAAAAGGACCAATGGCCAACAACACATTCTTCCCTCATTAAAGGGACAAGAAACTGATTACTTCTTCTACACAGAAGGGTGAGATAATTAAAGCTTCCTTCATTTACTAGAGAGACGAGACGACTACTTCTCGTATTAAGGGGTCACCATCCTTCAGATTACACCTCTTTCCCCCATAAAGGAACAAAGGGTTAACTTCATCTTCTTCCCTCAGTAAAGAGATGAAGGGTTAACTACTCCCTTATTAAAGGGTGAACTCACAACGCTCGAGCAAATCTACTTCCCTTATTAAAAGGGGCAAGAAAGTAATCATCAAGCATGCTTAGCTCAGTAGGACTTGGCATTCCCGACGTTTGACAAAAACCTAATTCCCTTACTAAAGGGACGAGCTGAGTGAAGCTCGTAAAACCCAATTCCCTTACTAAAGGGACGAGCTGAGTGAAGCTCGTAAAACCCAATTCCCTTTTTAAAGGGACGAGCTGAGTGAAGCTCGTAAAACCTAATTCCCTTACTAAAGGGACGAGCATAGTGAAGCTCGTAAAACCTAATTCCCTTACTAAAGGGACAAGTTGAGTGAAGCTCGTAAAACCTAATTCCCTTACTAAAGGGACGCGCTGAGTGAAACTCGTAAAATTTAATTCTCTTACTCAAGGGATGAGCTGAGTGAAGCTCATTCCCTTATTAAAGGAGTGACGAGCTGAGTGGAGCTCGTAAAATTTATTCCCTTGCCAAAGGGCTGGGCTGACTGAAACTCATGAAGTTTACAACTAGTATATTGGATTTTCAAAAGAAAAATCCAGTTTTGTATCATTAAGAGTCATTGACTATGGGTTTGAATCCACGCCCTTCCAAAACAGAACCTTGATTTGGTATCTGTATTAATTCCACCATAGGGAAAAGTACCCAAGGAAAGATTACCTAAGGGAACATTACCCAAGGGCAGTGTACCCACGGGAATATTACCCAAGGGAAGATTACCCAAGGGAATATTACCCAAGGGCAGAGTACCCACGAGAACATTACCCAAGGGCAGAGTACCCACGCCAACATTACCCAAGGGCAGAGTACTCATGGGAACATTACCCAAGGGCAGAGTACTCATGGGAACATTACCCAAGGGAACAGTACCTAAAGGAAGATTACCCAAGGGCAGAGTACCCACGAGAACATTACTCAAAGGAAGAGTTCTAAGGGTACCAAAAAAAAAAATACTGTTCATGTGAACAGTAACCCGCGGGCACTGTTCCCGAGGGAAAAAAAAAAAGTTTACTATTCAAGTGAACAGTACCTGCGGCACTGTTCTTGGGAAACAGTGCCTAGGGCAAAAAAAAAAAAAAATTCACATTCCCAAAGCTAGACGAGCAAGCTTGGGAATGGGAGACAACTGATAGGGAAAAATAAATCTAGCCTACCTTGACCTAACGATAAAGGCAACTAAGTGTTGACCAGCCGCCAAACCTCTTTAACTTTCAAACGATGAAATTTTCATTTGATAAGAATGATAATATTTTGTTATCAAGGATAATGAAATATGACGTGGTTTAACAGGGTAAGGATAACCTTGGCACAATTTGAGAAAGTCAAAAGGGTTAAATCATATCCTCGACAAATCTAGCAACAAATGGATCTCTTCTGATCTCGCATAAGCGGATCTCCTCTGATCTCGCACAAGCGAATCTCCTCTGATCCCACAAATCAACTGAGGGAGAGCAACTATAAGAATGAGATCCTACCAGTCAATAAAGGTACAACAAAAAAACTATTATTAAATTCCTGCCTTTCTTTTAGACCTCCGGTAACTGACTTGATCGTCGGAGAGCTCTTGGCAGGCACCACACCAGTGCCATCAAGATTCATTGATCCTCTACTCTTTTCGTTGCAGGAAAACGGTGTCGTATCGGACAGTGTGGATTTCACCCTCAACAGTTATAATTACAAGTTTCTTAGTTACAACATTGTGTAAAATAGACCAAGGCTTTACAAAAGATCAAGTTATAATACAAAAATTAGCAAAAGGTAAATCTCCAACTCCATCTCAACTCGTGGTGGTTCGTCATCCGCCACCTCTTTTCTATGTCCTGAAAATGTAAGAATTTAATGGGGTGAGCCAACCGCTCACTAGGAAGTGTCTAAGACACGGCTCTTATGACCCCGTGAATCCACAAAGAGTAAGGAGTACAAGTATACGAGATCATGCCTCGAGAAATAGATAAAGCAATAACAATATTAACAAGTGTGTATACAAGTCATCTGGCTACCAAGCATGCAATATATGTTAATGGAATGCCATGTTGTGCAATGTTACTCCCCGTTTCTGAAATAATACCATTTCACCATTTTCAATCGTTAGTACAATCCGACCCATTGCAACTCCATGGCATCACGAGAGGAAGATTGGCTAGCTATCCCCGACCACATGACAACTTCAAGGCGTCGTTTCCGGCCTAAGTAGCTCAACCACGCTAGGGTCCCTCCCTAGTCCCATCTAAACCACACTAAAGCCACTGGCCACTAGGCTACTCCTAGGCATCTGGGTGTTCGCAAACACTTTTCAAAAACATTTTCCCAAAACAATTTCATTTGCCTTTTGAAACACTTTTCCCTTTTTCTTTCCCAATGAATGCATGAATGCTTCATGCTTCCAAATGATAAGTCAACAATATGGTTCCATACATTCCATCTACATCATAGTTACATTTTCGAAGGAAATTATAAGCATTTATTTCCATAACTACAACATCAAAATTTCATGGCAATTGGAAATCATGGCATACAATATGTCAATACTAAGCATGCTTCTTCACCACAATGGAAACAATCATGTACACGAACTCAATTATCACTTAGAACACATTCACCATCTTATATACATACAACCATAACAATCATAGACAAGATAACTGAAATTAGCCATGCTTAATTAAACCGATAACGGGTCCCACCTATGACTTCCCGGCCTGAAAACGGAAAAATGCTGAAATGACAACTAATACATTTCTAAGAGTCCTGAACTCAGGGAAATGCCCTAACCAACTCTCAGACACATCCGGCACGCCCCACGGTGTCCGACATGCAAAGCGAGAAAAGACGGAAACAACCCCTAAAAATAAAAAAATCCCAGAAAATGAAAATGATAAAAATCGGAAACATTACATTCTCCCTAACTTAAAAAGATTTCGTCTCCGAAATCAAACCATACCTGAGGGAGAAAACAACGCCTGATACTTGGAGCGAACCTCCTGTTCGAGCTCCCAAGTAGCCTCCTCAACTCCGTGATGCCTCCAAAGGACTTTTACTAACTGAATTGTCTTATCCCTTAACACTTTCTGCCGTGTGTCAAGGATCTGAACTGGTCCCTCCTCATAGGAAATATGCTCATCAATGACCACATCAACCCAATCCAAAACGTGAGACGGATTTAGCTCATATTTTCACAACATCGATACATTGAAAACATTGTGAACTCTATCCATATGTGGTGGCAACGCAAGTCTATAAGCCACATTTCCTACCCTGTCCAAGATCTCGAAAGGTTCAATGAATCGTGGCGACAACTTGCCACTCTTCTCGAACCTCATCAACCCCTTCCGTGAAGAAACTCGAAGAAAGACGTGGTCTCTTACCTCAAAGGATAGCGGCCGTCTCTGCCTATCTGCATAACTCTTCTGTCTGCTCTGAGCTGTAAGCAATCTCTGTCTAATCAGTTTAATCTTCTCGGTAGTCTCGAGTACAATGTTAGGTCCTAAGGCGACTGTCTCACCCACTTCAGTCCAACAAACAGGAGATCTACAAGGTCTACCATATAATGCCTCAAATGGAGCCATCTGAATGCTCGTCTGGTAATTGTTGTTCTAGGTAAACTCAGTAAGTGAAAAGTGATCCTCCCAACTACCTCCCAAATCAAGCACACATGCCGAAGCACATCCTCTAAGATTTGGATGGTACGCTTCGACTGGCCGTCTGTCTATGGATGAAATGCTGTATTGAAATGCAATGGTGAGCCAAATGTTACGTGATCGCGGCCGCGTGGTTCCTCATGCAGCGACGGTACTTGATTTTGGCGATAGGTTTGGGGTTCATGATCACTGGTTTATCGGCGGTTCATTTGGTTCTGTGGTGAAAAATGAAAATATAGAGAGAGAACCGTAGACTGGTAGAGAGAGAAAGTGGGACCCTGTAACTAATTTTGGAGGAGCTTAGCCTATACTAAATAATTAGCTGAAACACCGATTGTAATCATAGGAAAGTAATGTTTTGAACCCTAGAGAGGATGAAAAAAGTAATCAGAGGAAAAATGATCCCGAAAGCTTTGTGCCAGAGGCCATTGGAGACCACTTGGACTGGTGATGAATCCGCGATAGGAGAAGTGCAGAAGAAAAAGAAGAAATGAGTTGAGGATAAAAAGGTCTAATATATTTGTAAGAATAATAATGTATTTGAAATAACGGAGGATAATTTAGGTATTTTATTTTATCATTTTAAAAAGAGGAGGTGTGAGAGCTAATTTAATCAAATTTCAGAATGTATTTAAAACTTTTGCTCAAATTTAATATGAGAGCAATAAAATGAAATCTCATTGAAGATTTAGCCTTAAAAAATATTGATGCACTGTTAGAGAAACTTACTAGATGTAGTACGTTGACAAGCGTTGAAAGTGACCTTCAAAAAAAAAAAAAAAAAAAGCTGAAAAGTGTACAGTCCCGTTTGGGGATTTAGGCCGGGGATCAGATGAGAATAATTTATATTAATTTTTAAATCTTTTGAAGCACAGTACCATCTTGCACGACGCCTTTAGTATAACTCATCTATAGTTTTGTCTGTTTTTAGTCAACTGTCGATCGTTTTACTCTCCTGTTTGAGTTGTTCTTAGATATCTTAACAGTTGGTACTCTCGATCCGTCTCATCTATCTTCTACTTGTGGTTAGTCTATTCCTTACCCATCTTTTCTTCTTTACATTTCCTCTGCATACATTTCAAATGCTACCATAAATTATATATATATATATATAGTTGTGTGTTTGTATATATTATGGTCAATTGAATGGTTTTTGTTTTCTCTCTCTGAAACTGGACAGTGTTTTGACGATTCAGCAGACCCAGAAAGACTAAATCACTAAATAACTCGTTTACAAATTCTCTCTACTCTGTGTTTGTGTGCGTCTTTTTGTTTATGCTTTGGTTATATATATATATATATATATATTTATATGTTCTCATCACTTTAATTTATTTGGGTACTCCATTTTTGTCTCCAAAAGGAATTTATGTAACAAAATGAGTTGGTTCTTGATTTCATTGCATAATACCAGCAAATTGTAGATCCAACTCGGGTGGACTTTTCTACTATGATCTTTCTCTGCACTTAATTGGCTTTAAAGATTAGTCTTTCATATATCTGAGTCTTTGTTGTTAACCTTTTTTACAGCTTAGATCTCTAACTTTTAAATTTTTTAGTCGTGTCAATTAAAATTTGATGTCGAAATTTGGTGGACTGCTTTTTCCTTTTTTGTTCTATGTTGATATTTGGAATGTCTAGTTTAAATTGACAAAATAGATATACTATTAGGAATGACAATTAGCTTCAATATCATTTTCAGCTTCAGTCACAATACACATATATTTTTTTCTTAAATCATTGAATTTTTTTTCTGATTTTTGTTACGGTGGATATTGATTATCCAAACCAAGTCCACCCCTGCAATTTGGATGCAGTTTCTTTGTTTACATGACCGAAGAGAGCTACAGCTGTAATTTTTGGGAAAAATGGCTTTTATTTTATTTTATTTTATTTTTTGTTGGGGGGTGGGGGAGTGGTTTTTTATTCCCCTCGAATTTGAATGGGATCATTCAGAATTTTTTGTAGAAAGAATTTAAGATTTTAGGCATCTTTTTATGATATGCTTACGGCTTTTCCAAATGGTTCCAGTCATGATAATGAGTTTCTACATTCAATGATATGTAAAAACTAAAAAGGCAAATGGGGCCATTCTAATTTGAGTGGACATTCAAGCAAGCCATAATGATTTCCTTTCATTCCAGCTAAAGGCTAAGTCAACCCAAATGCTATAACTGGAAAGGATCTATGTTATGAGATTAATTAACAAGTGATGCTATGTGGACATGGACAAGATAATTGCACTGGCATTCTATGATTAGTTTTGAATGGTTAATCTTCATATGGATATAACAAGTAGATAGTGTTAAATTAATATTGATACATAAAATGAATGTAATGATATTGTTTCATGTTAAATTGAAATTGTATGTTATGCTATCTATTAGAATAATCAGAAAGAAATTTGAATTTCCCTTCTAGATAAATTGTTTGTAGTGGAACGTTTGGGAGGTTCTGATCTCTTAAATCTTGCTTTACTTTTATTATATTCTTGTCTGTTTACTAGTCTTCTATTTCTAGATGATGAACCTGATCTTGAAGAGATATCTAATTAAAGTTTCCATTCTAGAATAGTTCTGATCCTGTGAACTGTCAAAAATTAACTGCCACTGAAGTCTGCCTGAAGAGGTAGGCGACTTGAGATGGTGCCAGTTAAATTTCAAGTTGAATTTCCCCGTCAACCTCTGTTTCCCTTCTCTCTCTCTTTTTTCTGTCCCTCTGCCCCGTTAATGACTAATGTGAATTGCTAGTTAGCTACTATACCAATATAAGTCACCCGTACCTTCCCTGTCATTTTCAGCTTTACTACCGTCTTGTTCAATGGTTCCATCAAAAATGGTGAATTTGTTCATTGAAATGATAGTAAAGGTTAAATGGGGCCATTCTAATTGAGAAGGGACAGCCAAATAATCCCTGAAAGATGTCCTTCCATTCCAGCGGAGTACGAGGCTAACCCAGTGCCTGAATTGGAAAGAATCTCTGCTCCTAGATCTGTTCTCAATTGATGCTAATTGCATTCAAATTCTCTCTACGATTATTTTTTATTTTTTTAGTGGGCTGATTTTTCATATGGATTTAAAAATTAGCTACTAGTAAATTAATAGAAAGATTGATACATAAGATAAATGCAATGGAGGCATGATTGAGATTTTCTGGTTTGTGTGTGCAGCTGTCAGTAGATGACAAGATGTGTTAGATAAAGAGAGACGGTTGTTGCAGAAAGAAAGAAGTGCGGTTAGCAAGGAGATGGATCAAGAAGGCAATTTTAGTCATTACAATTATGATGTGAATGACATTGAGAAAGAGGGACTACTGGATGGTAACGAGATTGAGGGGCAGTGGTCAGAGGTGTCCAGCAAAAACAGTTCGCACAGGGAGCCACTTTTGACGAAGAGGACGAACACCACCTCCCAGATTGCCATTGTTGGTGCCAATGTTTGCCCCATTGAGAGCCTCGACTATGAGTAAGTATTCTGACTTTCCTATATACATATGGCCTCTGCCTACTCTTAACTTTTCTTTTGCATTAGGTGAATCACGTCAGTTGTCACTTTCTTGATTGCTTGTCAAAACATATGATAATAAGTGAATTGATTGAGCAGAAACCCATAATTCTTGGGATCTTAACGTAGTTTAGGTCATCCAAAACTAATCTCATTACATCTTTTCCTTCCAAAAATGCTTACATTAGGGATTCGAAGGTTGTTGCCTTTCAATAGGGCTCTTCTTGGGAAATGGCTTTGGAGATTTGGGGTTGAGAGACTTTGGCTTTGGAGGAAAGTTATTGCCAGCAAGTTTGGGGAAATCAGTGGTGGGTGGTGTTCTCTTGAGGGGCGTGGTCCTAGGGGTGTGGGGGTTTGGACTTGCATTCGAAAGGGATGGGACGTTTTTCGTAATCATGTTCGCTTTAGGATCAGGGATGGTAGGAGGATCAGATTTTGGGAGGACCTTTGGTGTGGGGATCTTCACCTTGCTCTTTCTTTCCCTCGGCTTTACAGGATTGCTTTTGACAGGCAGGCCTTGGTGGTTGACTGTTATCACCTTGATAACGGAAGACTAACTTGGGACGTTCAGTTTAGGAGGCATTTTCCGGATTGGGAAATTGAGGAGGTCACTCGTTTTTTGGAGTTACTGTATCGTCAGGTGATCTCTCATGAGGAGGCTGATTGTTGGCTTTGGAGTCCACACTCTCAGGGTCGTTTCGAGGTGAGATCCTATTTCAGGTGCCTTTCTGATGGGGAGGGTCGCACTTTCCCTTGGAAGGCTATTTGGCGTTCCAAGGCTCCCCTTAAGGTGGCCTTTTTTGTTTAGACGTCTGTCTTGGGTAGGATTTTAACCCAGGATAATTTGAAGAGGAGAATGCAGGTGGTTATCAATCGCTGTTACTTGTGTCGTTGTGATGAGGAGACAGTGGATCACCTTCTGTTGCATTGCAGTATGGCCAGAGATTGTTGGGATTTGATGATTGGGTTGTTTGGGGTTCCCTGGGTTATGCCCTGTTCCTCTAGAGGGTTGATAGAGGCTTGGAGAGGTGTCTCTGTTGGGGCGCTCATCCGGGATGCTTGGAGGGCTACCCCTCTCTGTGTTTGGTGGTGCATTTGGCTCGAGAGGAATCGAAGATACTTCGATGGCAAGGAGAATCCCATTTCTATGCTTAAGTTTTCTATTATTTCTACTCTCTTTTGTTGGGTCTCAGGGAGAGATTATCGTTCTGTTGAGGAGATTGTTATGTTTTTGGCCTCTTTGAAGGCTTGAGGCCCTTTTTGGTTTTTTCTTCTTGTTTCCTTGGGTTTCGCTCCCCTTTGAGCGCTTTTTTATAAAATTCTTACTTATCAAAAAAAAAAATGCTTACAGGAGTAATTCTCTTTACAAGGGCTTATACAGTTTTCTATTTGATTCAATAATCACAAAGGTAACTGTTACCACCATCACCTTGGTCTTCTCTCCAAGTTTGTATTGTATTTGAATCTCTATGGCTTACGGTTGTCACTTTAGGGCAAAGGGCAGAGCCAATTAAGGCTCAGTGGGGGCTGCTTCCCCCACCCATTTTTCTTTTAATTTTCCTTTTATAGGTGTATCTTTAAAAAATTATAGAAGTGCACACTCTAAAAACAGTTTTAGTATTTGGAAAAATTATTATTTAGTGACAAAAAATTATATCCACTCCATTTTTGTACTTTTGCAATCCTTTGAAAGCTCACTCATTTCACTAACTAAAAAAAAATACTAATATACTCTGTATTTGTGGGGTAATTGTGTCAATTGTTTTAAAAAAAAAATGAAGTATAAAACTAAATTACAAAAGTAGAATGCATATCACCTCACTTTAGTAATCAAAATTGGAAGTAATTGTTTTTTTAGCAGTAATGCAGTGATTTATATTTGATCGTTGGTTACTTGTGTTTCTTTTTTACGAGCATAGGCGCTGTGCAACGTTTACTTCCAATTTTCCTTACTAAATTATAACATTTCTCAAATTTTTAGTATTATCCTCAAGTCTTTGAACTTCTAGCCTAGCGTATATAAAAAACCCTTAAGCCTGTTGTGGTTCATGATCATTAAAACCTAAACTCATTATCCAAATCCAATATCAATCTCTATACTAACAGAAAATAGGGCCTGTTTTACAAAAACCGTATGAAGTAGCAAGGACGTATGTGACCGTGCAATTTTCTTCCGACAAATCAAATGTTGCCCCCTCCAAAGAAATTTTATGGCTCTGTCACTTCTTTAGGGTGGTCAAAATTTATTTATGACCTTGCTTATTTCATTCACATTGAGGTCTTGCTAACACCTTTTGTCAGACTGTCTACAAGCCGCGGAGTGCAAATCTGACTGGAGATTATGTTCTCTCAAATGAAGTGCCGATCAACTAACAAGTGTCTCCTCAGATCATAAACAATCAACAATGTCTCCTCAGCCCATAAACAACCAATCATGACTCCTCAAATCATAAGCAACCAACAATATCTCCTCAGACCATTTCCCATGTTTAAATTATGTAAGATGGAAGAATTAACAATGTCTCCTCATACTATTCTTCTTCATACACATGTTTAAAATATGTAGATGAAAGAATCACCAATTTCTTCTCAGACCACAAACCATCAACAGTATCTCCGCATAGCATTCTCGAATGGGTGGTGCTGAATTCGCAACGCCCTCGTTGCGGTTGAACCACCCTGGCTCTGATACCAAAAAGAAATACAAGATAGAAGAAATAAAAGTTAGAAAAAATACAAGATAAATATGTAAAGGGTTGAATGAGATAATTTGAATGACAATGTAGGAAAGGGTTGTGTTTTGACAAGTCTACACCCATGCATTTATATTTGTCAAAAATATAATTTTCAATAATTGCCTACTAATTATGACAATTAGTAAGCATAATTAGTGTGATTTTAATTATTGTCATAATTCGTGGGTGTAATTAGTGGGATTTGACCAGTAATTATTGTAAATTATATTTTTGACTAAATAAATACATGGGTGTAGAGAAGTCAAAACACAACCCTTTCTTGCATTCTCATTCAAATTATCTCATTCAAGCCTTTACATTCTCATTCAATTATGCCTACTAATTATGACAATAATTATGTGGTCAAATCCCACTAATTACGCTCTCAAATCCCACGATTCTAGGATAATTGACATATCTCGCCTAACAGATACCAATATTATGTCATATGATCATCTATTAACGTCCGTAGTAGAGCATAGGAAGGCCATCATCTACTGCTGGTCACTAACAAACTTAACCTTTGTTATAGGGGCATACAAGAATGCCATTACTCAGTGCCGGTCCTGTCTAGTGGTAGAATAATACGTTGCCACAGTGGAACATAAAATCAACCATTTTATGTTTTCTCACGGTGCTGCATTGGTTTCGTTATGTAGTAAAGGAAGAAGTAAAGGAAAGGTTCAGATTATGCTAGATTCTGTTTGTTCCTATTGCTGTTTGTTTATTATACCTATTATTGGACCTTTATGTATTTTAATGCTTCAAACTAGAAATTTTAGAGGCATATTTGGTGAGCATGTATGCTTATTAATCTTCACCTCCTATCACCCACTTTAGAAACTTCTTTAGTTAAAAAACGTATATTTTCTTTCTTTGTTTATCAGGACCTAATTATAGAATGCATCATTTGATGTTTAAAATTCTCTTTTTCTCCATCCTTTCCGTTCTTTGTATTTATTATATTTTGTCTACATTTAAAACCAATCTTAAATGTGTTACGGTGTTCATATATGTAGTCCTGTAAGTGTGTTTGATGTTGATGAACTAGGTGGTTAAAGAGTTCAAAAGCATGGCTTATTCCCATTTCTGTTTTAGTTGAAACATAGCAATACGGTATGCACTTTTTTCTTGTATGGAAGTTGCATAGCAGTTTTTGTTATTGCTTTGGCTCATTGGGTGCAGCTTTTTACTTGTAACCATTTACTAGACAATGGCAGCTCTCAAAAATTTATTAGTAAAGGTCTAAAGGCATTTACTCTGTTGTAAAGCATAAAACGGAAGCGAAGAGATAAATTAAACAAGTAGAACACACAGATATTACGGCGTTCAGCCACTAGGGTCTACATCCATGACATAGAGCCCAAAGGATTACATCACTTTCATAATACTCTCTCAATTTGTATATAATACAATGGTGGAGTCTCCTTTATATAGAAGAAGAAATTTTGAGAATTAGAAAATAGGAAACAAGGAGGATTTTTCTCCAGAGAAATTAAACGAGTAGAACAACAAAGATATAATGTAGTTTAGCCACTAGGGTCTACATCCACGACACAAAGAGCCCAAAGGGCTACATCATTTACAATATCATGTTGGAGGCTCCTTTATATAGGAGAAGAAGTTTTGAGAATTAGAAAATAGGAAACAAGGAGGATTTTTCTCCACTGATTCCTCTAGTAACACCAAATCTTCAATAAAAGGAAACAACATCAATTAGTGAACGATTTTTCTCCATTGAATCTTCAATATCTAAACCAAATTCTCATATCACAACATTAATATGTGTGTGGTGCGCTTGGAAGGTTTCTGGTCACTTAGATGTGTCCAAGAATCTTTAATAGTCTTTTACTTGCTTTTCTATAATATATAATCGTTGGTTTTGATTTATTATAATTTTTATATTTTAAACTATAAAGAGGCTAAGTTATTGGGTATGCCCTCTATTTCATGTACTCTAATGCTTTATCTTTAATGGAACTCCACTACCATTTATGAAAGAAAAGGTCTAAGTTATTGCAGTCTTAACATTAAAGCTAATTTGACATCTGTCAACAGTATTATAGGTTTTGTTCTTGTTTAGTGGGGGTTGTGCTTTTCAGTTGGAGAGGATATAGAATGATCATGAGAGTTTGGGGACTATGATAGGCATCTCTGTTATGCCTTTGAGAGAGTATTGGGACACGAGAAGTAGGCTGTTTTTGGAAGGGGTGGAAATTATTATATTTGCTAGAGCAGTTTTTGACCAAGGAAGATTAGAAACTCATTTTTTGAATGAATTTTGTAGAGGGCACTGGGAGGCAAAACTACTCATAATGTTCACCCAATTTGAGGATCGATTTGGAGTTTGAGGCAGAGCGGATGTTGGAAGATCAGAACTAGATTATGTATCAGTTCTTTACTTGGGTGGTTGGAATCTTTCTATTCTGTACATACTCGTTCCTGAGCTTTTTGAGGAGTTATTTAAGGTTGCGATTGCAATTTTTTTTTTTGTGTCGATTGCAAGCCAGGTTGCTACTGCTCTGATACCATGTAAAGTTTGTATTGTGAAGAAGAGAGAACAGAAAAACAGTCGTATATTATTCACTAGTTGCTGAAGAGTACGATAGAATACAATATAATAAGCCCTAAACTAATAAACTGAGAAAAAGACAATACTACCCTCAATAATAAAATAACTCCTACTCTAACAATATTGACAACAAAGTATAAGATGCTGTACTCCCCCTCTTTTTCTGGATCACAGAGACATTTGCAGTTCTGACTAATCTTCCTTGTACAGTTTGCTGGTGGAATGAAATCTTTGTGTAATATCATGTGTACATGTGTAACCCTTTTAGTGCTTTCTATTGGTACTTCTATCTATAAAACAAAAAGCCGATTTTAACAATGAGATAAATTAAGTCTTCTTAGTTCATATATCTGTTGGTGATGTTTCTTCAAAATTTATACATTCCAAACTATTTATGTGTATTTGAAATTGACATTGATTACGAAATCAGTTGAAGTCTGTTGAGAACAAGTGGAATGCCTTTTAAGATTATGCATGTTTAGCTTTTCTGTGGCTGGAAACAAATTCTATTTGCCACTTTTTGAAAAATACATTTGCTTTATGGGTTTCTCAAATACCAGATCAGAATGATTGGGAATTAAATCCTTTCATTTTCAAAATATAGTTGAGTTTCCATTTTTAATTATTCTTTTATAATGTAATTCTAGGTTGCCGGTATATGTGAGTGCATTCTGTAGGACTTTAGCTTCCCATAAATACCTCCTGCACCCAAGAGAGTATTATCAACTTTAGTTATTGCCTTTGGTAATTTATTAAAGAAGTATTCTTCTGTTTTACAGATGAAATTATTTATCAAATAGATTTCTCTTGCTTGTGTTATTTCAGGATTATTGAAAATGAGTTATTTAAGCAGGACTGGAGGTCAAGGAAGAAAGTTCAGATATTTCAGTACATTGTCCTTAAGTGGGCACTTGCACTTCTTATAGGGCTTGGTACTGGACTTGTGGGCTTCTTCAACAATATTGCAGTTGAGAATATAGCCGGTCTAAAACTGCTGCTGACCACTGATCTTATGTCAAAGCAAAAGTGAGCCTTTTCCACCATTACAATTATTTTACAAGTTCTTATAGTGATATAACCTGGACATGTTAAGTAATATAGACTTTTAATATACTTTATGCTTGTGGTCCTTGAGTAAAACAAATATTTGTTCGTAATAGTGTGATATCAGCAGTGTATTGTTGAGTAAACTTATAATGACATGACACAGCACACAATCTTTTAATTGACAGCCACTTCCCTTTAGCAGGGGTACCAGCCATCGAATGATAACCCTGTTTAATAGAATTATAAAATGAAAGACTATTTCAATTGCATGATTTTACATTTAACGGACTTACTGTTTCCTTGACTATTTTTTATGCACACATGTATAGATGAATAGATACTTATAAATCAACGAGACCTAAGCTTGCCAGCCACCAACCAGCCCAATGCATGTTTCTTACCTTCCCGATGAAGCTTCCTTTGATTTGCATGAATGAGGAAGGTGCATGCAAGAGAAAGGAAAGCCCCTATTTTGGCATGAGCCCTAGTACATTGACCTCTCACAGGCCTGAAACTCAAGTTTTTGGCTATTGAAAAATCAAATCACAGAAACAAACGAAGCCATATAGATTCTCAATAAGGGAGGAACTCAACCACTCACACGTGTATAAAATTTTGGGTGAGAAAAATTATTAGATCGTACCCTTAGGTTTTGATAATCAGAGTGTGCTATAGCCAAAATAGATGTAAAGGGTGGTGATAAAGAAGAATAGCTCTGAGTGAAGAAAGGAGAGGAAAAGGGTTTTCAGAAATATGGATTTCTTCTATATCGATCAATGATGGTGATATACACTTATATACATATTAAAAGTCAAAATTATACAAAAGGAAAGGTGATATGGTAGCAATATTTAGAAGAGGAAATCAAGGTGAAGATTGATTGTTTCCTTGTGTGTCAAAACTGCTAACTCATTAGGTAGGTACACAAATATTGCCTTGAATCTCTCTCATATCTTGTGCATCAATATTGCATTTGTTGTACAGTATTGTGTGAGTTGTCACACCTGTACAGTTAGTATTGTATGAGTTGTCACCTACCCCTCATTACCATATATAGAATTACCATGTATAGGGTTTTCTTGTTCTCCACTCACCTACTCCCGTAGCTTCTCCTATATAAACACCATTGTATTATTGTATTACTTGCTCAATAACATGTAAGTTTTCATATATTCTCTTTCTCTCTCTCTATTTCAACATGGTATCAGAGCGGAAATCGATCCCTCTTTAATTTTTTTTTTTTAGTCTTATTCAGACTCCGATCTTGATTCCATCTCGGCCTTCTTTTAATCTCTTCTCAGCGATCTCTCCTCGGTGATCTCAATTCTCTTCTCAACAATCTCTCTTGGATCCCTCCTAGGCTCTCTCCTCGATAATTTCTCTCGGGTTCATCTCGGCTAGAACTTGGTTTTCTTATCTCAGCTCCCTCTCACTACTATATCTCATTTGTTCGGCCACTGTTGTGATGGATACTAAGGAATCCCATCTTCTTAGGTCAATCACAAGCACCAAACTGGTAAAGCGTGAGCATGCAAATCAATCCTCCTCCACCGCTACTATTGATACTTCAGGTAATACGTGTCTCCATGCTTCATCTTCTACACCTTGGATCATTGATTCAGGGGCATACGATCACATGACAGGTAACCCATCTCTTCTTTCTGATATTTCTCATGTTTTCTCACCATCGGTTGTTACTATAGCGAACGGTGCCAAATCACCTGTTCATGGAATTGGTACCTTCCGCGCTTCGGGTCTCACTTTTTCATCAGTTTTATATATCCTTCAATTTTCATTCAATGTATTGTCAATTCGCAAAATCATATCAGATTTAAATTGCTCAGTTATTTTTTCTCCTTCCCGTTGTGTCTTTCAGGATCTCAAGACGAAGAAGGCGATTGGTGGGGGGGTTTGAGAAGGATGATCTTTACTACTTCCAGCCAACTACCGTTCCGACAACTCTACATTCCACCTCTTCTTCAGCTTACCAGTGGCATTGCCGCCTTGGACATCCTCTTCAAATAGTCTTCGAGCCTTGGTCCCTTCTTTAGTTGATTTTTCTAAGTTTAATTGTACTACTTGCGAACTTAGTAAACATCGTCGGGCTACTTTTAAGTCTCATTTTGATAAAAGCTTAAAACCTTTTGAGTTAGTACATTCGGATGTTTAGGGACCAGCTCGTACTACTGGTTTATTTGGTGCTCGTTATTTTGTGTCATTTATTGATGATAATTCACATTTAACTTGGGTTTATATTCTTAAAGATAGATCTCAAGTATTCTCTGTCTTTTAATCATTTTATGCTGAAATTCAAAATTAGTTTGATGCAAAATTACTTGTTCTTAGAACAGACAATGCCATTGAATATAAACTTAATGTTTTTCAAAAGTTTCTTGAGTCGAGGGGCATTATCCATCAAACATCTTGTATTGATACCCCTCAACAAAATGGAGTTGCTGAACGGAAGAATGGCCTAATCCGAGCTATCTCTCGTGCCTAAACAATTCAAATGCATGTTCCAAAACATTTTTGGGCAGATACAGTTCTGGTTGCTGGTTATCTTTTAAACCGCATGCCTTCTAGGGTCCTTCAAGGAAAATCACCCTTCCAAATGATGTTTTCTGACAAAAATCCTTTTTTCATTCCTCCAAAGGTGTTTGGGTGTGTTTGTTTTGTTCATAATCTAAGCAAAGGACGAGACAAACTTGATCCTCGTGCTCATAAATGTATTTTCTTAGGTTATTCTCGCACTCCAAAGGGATATAAATATTACAGTCCAACTCTTCGTAACATTTAGCGTGTGCAGATGTAACTTTCTTTGAGGATGTTCCTTAATAATCTCAGGAAGGCAGTTGCTTGGAGGACTTTGTTCTTCAAGAGTCTGTTCTTCCAACTCCAGTTTTTGCTTCTGACATCCCACTAGCTCTTCGTGCCTATGTTCGTCGCCGGAAAAGAGTAGTTAATCATGTTCCAATGACTGAAGTAGTAGACCCAGTCTTGCCACTTACACCAGTCGCTTTAACGCCTGGAGATTCTTCCATCTCTCCGGACTCTGATCTTGATCAACCTATTGCTGTTTGGAAAGGTAAATGGTTTTGTACCAATCACCCTATCTCTAATTTTGTATTATATAATAAATTGTCCTCCTTCAAGATTTTTCTTTGTCATTACCCTCTATTGTTCTTCCTAAGTCCTACAGGGAGGCACTTTCTCATCCAGGATGGAGGAAAGCTATGGAAGAAGAAATAAACGCTTTAAAATTGAATCATACTTGGGACCTTGTTCCTAAGGTTGTTGATACTCAGGTTGTTGGTTGTTGTTGGGTTTTTACTGTTAAACAGAAGCCTGATGGTACTGTTGACCGTCTCAAAGCTTAACTTGTTGCTAAAGGCTACTCAGACTTATGGCCTGGATTATACTGAGACGTTCTCTCCTGTGACCAAACTGAATTCTGTTCGTGTGATAATCTCTCTTGCAACTAATCTAGACTGGCCACTTCATTAACTTGATGTTAAAAATGCCTTTCTGCACGGTGACCTTAATGAGAGTCTATATGACTCAACCACCTGGGTTCGAGTATAAGGGGGAGTGTGTGTGTCATCTCAAAAAGTCTATCTATGGCCTCAAACAGTCCCCTCGTGCATGGTTTGATAAGTTCAGTAAAGCAGTGATAGCTCATGGTATGACTAGAAGCCAAGTTGACCACTCTCTCTTTTTTAAGAAAACGAAACGTGGTATTGTGATTCTTGTGCTGTATGTAGATGATATTGTTATCACTGGCAGTGACAAAGATGGGTTATGAGTTCTAATCCATCACTTGAGTTCTAGCTTCCTTACTAAGGATTTGGCAAACTTCGATATTTTCTAAGAATTGAGGTGGCTTGGTCGAAGCAAGGCATTAGTCTTTCTCAACGGAAGTATACTCTTGATCTATTATAGGATACTGGATATCTTGGTTCGAAACATGTAGCTACACCCATGGAGACTAATATAAAACTTAAGGTGGATGAAGGTGACCCACTCGATGATGCAAAGATGTATCGGAGACTTGTAGGTAAACATATTTACCTCACAATCACTCGTCCAGACATCTCCTATGCAGTCAGTGTTGTGAGCCAGTTCATGACCAGTCCTTGGGTACCTCACATGGAAGCAGTTGTACACATCTTGAAGTATCTTAAGGGTGCTCCGGGACGTGGTTTGCTTTATCGATCTTCTGGACATCTTCGAATTGAGGGATATACAGATGCAGATTGGCCGGTTCTCTTTCTGATTGACGGTCCACCATAGGTTACTGCACCTTCATAGGAGGAAATCTAGTAACTTGGAGGAGTAAGAAATAGTCAGTTGTGGCTCGTTCCAGTGCTGAAGCAGAGTATCGTGCCATCGCACACACCGCCTGTGAACTTACTTGGTTGAAAACTCTTTTACAGGAACTTGGGATTTCAGTCCAGTACCCAATTCCTCTCCATTGTGACAATCAGACAGCTATTCATATTGCTAGCAATCCAGTGTACCATGAGAGGACTAAACACATTGAAGTAGATTGCCATTTCATTCAATCTAAAGTTGACTCGAATGAGATTGTTACACCTTTTGTTCCTTCTGGTAGACAGCTGGTATACATCTTCACTAAGGCGCTTCCTAAGAACTCTATTGATTCCATTTGTAGCAAGCTGGGAGTTATTGACATTTACTCTCCAGCTTGAGGGGGAGTGTTGTACAGTATTGTATGAGTTGTCACACGTGTACAGTTAGTATTGTATGAGTTGTCACCTACCCATCATTACTATATATAGAATTACCATGTATAGGGTTTTCTTGTTCTCCACTCACGTATTTCCGTAGCTTCTCCTATATAAACACCATTGTATTATTGTATTACTTACTCAATAACATATAAGTTTTCATGTGTTCTCTTTCTCTCTCTTTCAACAGCATTGAATTTCTCCTTCCATGTCTTTGTTTTTAAGTGGATT